CCCCAAAACCCCAAAACCCCAAAACCCCAAAACCCCTGAGTGGGGGTTTTATATTGAGTATGATAACTAGTTTATTGGATAAAAATTAAGGATAAGGTAAGGACAAGCTTTTGTAGAGAAATATAAATATTAATAGTGACCATAAGACTTATGAATAAGCTCTCAATTTTCAACAACAGTGGAAGGTATTAATTTCAAAAAGTCTAAGGTAAGGCCGAATCTGAACTAATATCACTGGTAATAAATCTGCTCAGATCTAATTTTCTTCTTCACATCCAAACCTCTAAATATTAAGCACAAGTCTATCACTAATTGCTCACTTCAGTACCTATGGGTTTTAATAAATTACTTTCAGGTTTTGCATATCTAAAATTACACACCTCGATATTTCCCGTTTAATGGTTTTTCTACATTAATGGTATTTTAATAAAACGCTTCTGTGTCGAATTTGTCTTTAGAAGTGATTTTCATTGACATCGACCTCCATTAGCTTCTTTGTAAACCTGGCTTCACAGATGGCGTCACATGCATGTTTGACTCTCTCCAAGGTCTTGCCAGGGAACTCATACAAGACTGCATGGTAATCGACATTGGTGTATTGGTAAGTGTAGTTCAGAATTTTCTTCAGATGCTTTATTTCTCTTTTAGAGAATGTATCACTGATCTTATTCTTAATCCTTCTTGCAAGCTCTTTGAAGGAAGACTTCCAGCCAAGAACCTTGTGCAATCTGCGAATACTTTTATGGCGCTTGGCTGAGTTTAAGTCAAGTGTCTGTAACTCAGAGAAGGATAACATGTTCAAGTCTCACAGAGTTTGGATTGTGTGAAAGAGAATCTTGTCTTCCTTCAAACCCCACCGCTTTCCATCACCAAGAGGAGATATCTTGAGCTGACTTAAGCAAATGGGAGCAGTTTTATTAGATGATGTTTGAATGCTGAATACGTCTCACAATCAATAATTGTTTGGATCTAGAGGATTTTCAATATCTCCTTTAGATTTGACCCTCTCTGAATTATTCTTGGAGAGTGTATTCACACTTAAGTCTTCCTCATTCTGCTCTGGAAGCTCATCAGATAGAGCAGGGAATTTGAAATGATAAATCTCATCTCCCTGACTCGTCTCTTCTTTTAGTGGGCTTTCATAGGGAGGAATAAATTTATACTCTGACAAAACCATTGGTGGATCTATACCATTAATATTAGTGTCTTCCTAAAATAAATGAATATATAATGAGCTTTAATGTCTAATAATCGAAGCTATGAATAAAAGTATGATCAGATTTACCCGAAAGAAATCTTCTTTTGATGATTTTATCATAATTTCAAAAATTGTGCATCTGACAAAAAGTGAAATCCTGAGTATAGAATAACCCACACGCAAATAGTACCGAATATGATCAGCAAAGTTGCAAGATTCTTAATTATTACTGACCATGGTCTTTCTTTGCAGAACAGATTAAGTATGCTAAGAGATGAATTTATATGCTATTTTCATTCTTTTCTGATCTTAAACTGTTTTATAACTTTGGCACAAAGACTTAGGTAAATTTCATGAAGCTTTGCTCACCCACAAAGTCATATTAAGTAAATTTCAAGCGAACTGAGCTTATCAGGACTCAAATATCTTTCTAATGACTTATTTAAAGCTAGTCCCCTTCTGAGTCTTACCTTGAGGCTTAAATTTAAGTATTTCATGAAGATAAGTTTGGTGCTCAAAGGTGTTGTCCATGATTAAATTATTTATATTGATACATACTAACCTTCTTATATAGATTTACAGGACTTGCTACTTCATGCAATCCTAGTCTAACATACTCGCATTGTCATATCCTAAAATTTAGTTCTGGAAGTTCAAACTTTAGAAGAGCGAAATAAAGTAAGAAAAATATTTGCAACTTAAAGCTCTCTAAATTATAATCTTAAAATTCAGATTTTCTATTCAGTGGCTCAACAATGAAAATTTAGAACATCAAGCTGAATATCAAGAGGAGTAACCTGGATTGGTTTATCTCTACCCTCAGTGCGGTTTAGAGCAAACATATGATATATATTAGAACCTTGAGCTTATAGAGCTCTTAATTTTCGCTGATTTTAGAATATTTCTTCAACCAATTTGGATCATTAACAGACTCGAAGCACTTATTATGAAGAATATTCCCGATATAATATACCTAGCATATTGTCTAACTTTAGTTATTGCAGTGAGCTCAGGTTTTAGTATTAACAAGGGCCAACACCTGAATTACTCTCCTAGTTCTTTTTTGATAGTCATGATTTAGAAAAACTTGATCAGAATATATTCTTAAATGCTAATCATAAAATTTCTTTCAATCGCTCTTTGATGATGTTGAACTGGCTGAAAGATAAAGTGAGAACTACGCTACCCTTAAGCTAAGATGAACTAAAATGGCTGAATAAACTAGTTAAGAAGGGACAAAAAGACCTAATTTTAGTGATTACTTGAGAGACCTTCCAAACATTGAGTTTGAGAACTTTATAACAGAGTCAAAAATCTTCACGACTGTTTCAGAGTTCTCGGCTCAGCTCTAAGAACTCACTGTCCTAGAACTTCTTGTAACGCCCAAGATTAGCATATCTTAACTCATATAAGCTAATGCTGAAATCCTTTCCTCCTAAAATTTCCTTAAAGCATGGTCAGTTCAACACCTCGTTTACTCCCAGGGGTTTTGGGGTTTTGGGGTTTTGGGG